AAACATTTTCTCAGCAAAAAAAAGATGCTGGAAGTTAGTTGACAGACCATTAAAAAAGGCATTCTGAAAAGTATTTGATAAAAGGAGCCAAAATTTCACAACTGCCACATATATATCCACATCTTATACCTTAAAATGTTTAGGCAAACTGGAGATGGTTAAGCAGAAGATCCACATTGATTTGAGATTGCATATATTTGAAATCAACTCAGGAATATCTTAGAGTAGATTTTGCTTTGGGCTTTATACCTTGGGCCTTGAAGATGATGCAAATGCACCAGTTATACTTAGGTTAGTTGACGAGTTCAACTAAACTGATTTTATTAGTAACTGGATAAATTATCCTCCCCCCACAGGAAAAACTGTGATGGTTAAATCTGCAGCTTTACAGCTAAGACCACATTTTCTACATCACACTTTTTTTTTTTATTCCTAGCTTCAATTCAGGTGAGCTGGTGTCTGCACAGACTTGAGAAGCTCTGCTTTGTCTGAGACGTGTCTTTGTCCCACTTTTATAAGATCTCTCTGTTCTGCCTCAAGACAAGTGTGTGCACACACAACACACCCTTTCAGCCTAAGAACAAGTGCCCATGTGTTCAAGCAGGATGAAGATCTTCAAAAGCTAAGCACAGCTGCAGGTTATACCACCTAATGAGCAGGTAGTGCCTCCAGCATAGCTTGTTAACAATAGCTGCCTCTAAAACCAACACGAGTTAAGTTTTTGATGAATTACTCCTTTTATACCAGTCGAAACAGGATAAGCTGTCGCTCAACAGTCAGGTATCATTTAAAATTTAACAGACCAATTATGATCTAAACTAAATTTTACTGTAAACGTGATTAGACATGCCTCGGAAGATCCGATGTAACTTTAGTGGTTTCTTAATAAAGGTTACAATTATAGATTTAATTCATAGTTTACTCAAGGGGTCAAAGCATAAACTATATGTTGAAAGCAAGATCAGCTCAGGTTTCTCATGCTGCTTTGGACATGTGAATTTTTTAAGCTCTGTTGCATCATCTAGCTGTTATTGACGTTTTTCACAGAAGCTGTTTTAACATAAATTAGCAGGCAAACACAGGTGTTACTAATTACAATAATATCTGTTTATGCACAGAGCGTTCATTAATGTGTTTAGCAACACCTGTGTTTACCTGGTATTTGTCAAAACAGCTTCTGTGGAAAACGTCAATAACGGGTAGCTTATGCAGAACAGAACTTATAAAATTCACATGTGCATTTACAGAAGATACTTGCTAATCACCTGAACTACATCAATAAAGCAGCCATTAAAACAAAGATTTCCTTTCAGATCAAGAGCAATGACTCCGAACACTTAGGCCATTTATTACTCCACTCCTAAGAGATAACGAGACATAAACAATGTGTGCATATAAAGAAGAAATAATCACTAGAACACCTTTGCATTCACTCATTCCAAATGTAGCATGTCAGATAATTGTTTTGATGCTAAATTCTGCAGTTACACCCAACAACCTTTGCTACACCTTTTAAGCCAGGGTGTAAGGACTATCCAAACGAAAGACGCTAACATTGATTTCATTTTGTATTTTAAGATCAAAGTCAAACCAGTTTAAATCATGTCAAGGTCATGTTTTGACTTATCTAAAAATTTCAACTGATCTCAGAATTCTGAGTTGAACTTTTGAGACTACTTAGTAAGTCAAAATTTAGATATCAACTCTAAATTTCTCATTATTATATCAACATTTTTAGATAGGCAACTTGGAATTTTGAGTTATTATAAGAATATTTAGATATTAGCCCCCCAAAAAACAAATGCCAAGCAAAATCAGTATCAGTAACAAGCTTTCATACAACTTCAGCCTAGGTTAAAAACAAAGGACTTCCTTCAGACTTAAAGCAGTGATTCAGTTTGGCAGCTAACGTAACATTTTCATTTCTCTCAAAATGTTACCTTACTTCTGAGTAAGTTAATTTTCTTAAATATTAGGCCTATTACCTAATTCGAAAGTTTCTGTTATTAAGTCTAAAATTTGAGATGCTAAAGAGTGAGAAGGAAAAATAGTGGCAAATGTAGCATGCTAATGCCATCAACTGAAGGTGTTAGCATGCTCACGATGCTATTCTTGGTATGAAAAGAGCCTGAAGACTTAAAGCTTAATTTTCACTATATCTTATTGGGCAGTAAACACTGCATCATTTTCGTGCTTTTCATTGCCAAGTGAGGTTGTAGCAAATAAGCTGCTAATCTAAAACATCTAGCATACTCAGCATTTACTATAACACTGCCTTTCTTGCTGTGTACTTTATTCCAGACATTATTAAAAGATCTGAGGGGTAAAGAAATTTCTAGTTTCAGTAAAGCATGAACTTCTGGTTTATTCACGCCAGTGGATAGGAGTTTCCCCTGGCTGCTGACATCCCTGACAATAGCCTCAGTGTAAAGCAAAAGCTGGCCTCTCTTGTGCCTGTTTACCACTGCTGCAGCTCTGTGAATAAATCCTTTCTTTCTCTGTGTATTAAACATGTTCAGTTGAGATGTGTCAGTGTGGCCCACTTCCCTGCTCTACTCCAGCAGCAAACAAACCTCATGTTTCTTGGCACCTGTTCCTGTTGGTTATTTAGACATATATTATTTCTCTGCTGGTCTATAAATAACATGGGCTTCTTGTATTATCCATCATTATGACATCATTTTTGAGTCTGCTCACCATTAGCTAAGTCATGAGGAAGATGTAAGAAACTAGATCATTTCTCAAAAGCGCATAAGCTGTGAACAGACAAGGAAGCTATTGTTGAAAGGATCTGGATCTTACTTAGCTTTTTCAACTCCTGTTAAAACCAGGGCTTGGAAATTGTGGTATTTGTCACCAAAACAGTTCAAAGAGCTGGTGAATTAGTCAGAATCAGAATCAGAATCAGAATACTTTATTGATCCCTGGGGAAATTATTTTTTGTTACAGTGCTCCATTTTAAACCAACATTAAGACAAGACAGACAATACGCTAACTAAGAATAGTACAATATATACATATATATACATACATACATACATAAGTCACTTATAAATAAATATTTGGAAAAGAAACATGTGTAGTTGTAGCAGCAAACAGTGTGTTAAGTGGATGCGTTGTACTTAAGTGGATGCGTTGTACATTACAATTAGGGGTGATTAGCAAAAAGAGACGATAGTATTGAAATGTATTTAATATGAGAGCTAATCCATTTTAAAACGTGCATGATGACGAATTTTATATTTATTAAAAGACAAAGTCAACTTGAGTACAGTGTTTGAGCTTTAGCCACGTAACTAAAGCTTTTATGGTACACCACTGCCCCCTGGAGGATAACAGCCTGACTTCATTTTCATGCCCTAAAAATGGGCTTCTAGCTCTGAAATTAGCATATTGCTATTTGACAAGTAGACTCATTAAATTATTAAGTATGTTTTGAGGTGATGGATTTTCTGTCTTATGTTACATGTTACCAACAAGCTTGGATCATAAGATATGCTCTTTAAATCTGGTCTCTGCTTAAGATATGTAGAACGTGTACAAAACCTCAGCACTGAACAAGAAAAATACATTCATATTAGTCCTCAAAGCAGCCTTCTGGCATATCGTGCTACATTATATCTTATGCACTTGCAGAAGCACACTATGTGTCTTTTCTTTGCTGTGTCCAGGGTGGTTTTGTAGATGTAGACGGAACCGTTGTCACTGAGCTTTAATTGCTTTGTGGGTTATTGTTAATTAGATTTTAAAAAATGTAACCACCGCCTGAAATCACGTGGGGCTTTGATAGATTTCCCAGTGAATCCCTAAAGGAATTTTGCTCTCAAATATAGTCTGAATAAGATCACCATTTCTCTGAAAAAATGGTTTGACAGGGTTTTCTTACCTCTGAGTTTTAACTCTCTCTCTCCTCTATATTTAACGCACCATCTCCTTCTTCTCATTTCTGATCTGTTTCATAAGGCAGAATATTGAGAACTGAATGATGTGCAAAAGCTGTGCACGTACCCCCTGCAGTTTTGACCTTAAAATCCTTGTCCGGGAGGGCTGATGTTGATTGGCACTCAACCTCCCAACTCCTCCCCCTTTTAGCTGTACCGCAGTGCAGCTCGTGCTGGCAGGCCCCTGCAAGGTTACCGCTGCTTCACCGAGAGGGCTGACAAATGAACATAGAAGGCAAACATCTGAGTATTTCCTCCCACTAGCACTTGCCCCATCTTGCACAATTTATTAGCGAATGATGGAGCGGACCATTTACTGTGGTGCTAATCTTCCTTTGTTTACTGTCTGCAGTTTTCTCATAGGGAAATGAAAGCTTAGGGAATACATAGCAGACTGTGGTCATTTGTCATTCTGTAATGCAAAGCTATAGTGAGTCATATAAATATTGTATGAGCTGTAATATTCTGATATGTTCTTAAATAAATGAGGGAGACAACGAGTAGTAGATTTGATATATTTCTGGTGACAACTCAAACTAGTTTTCTTTTCTTTTTGTACATAACAGTTTAAAAGTGGCCCAAACAATCTTATAAACTAATACTGGAAAATCAAAACTATGTCAGTGTGTGTTGTAATATATCTACCAAGCTACATGCACAATTTCTAACACAGCATAATGTAGAAACTACTATAGAACAATCTGCAAAGCAAATTCAAGGCATTTCTTTGTGACCAGTTTCTGACCGTACTCTAAAACACATTCATAAGAAGTTGGTCTCTCATTTTAGCTCTAAAATAACCACATATCAGCTCCATAAATTGGTATCAGAATTCTTTATGATGTACACCTTGCTAGTACCAGGTTGGAACCCCTTTTGCCTTCAGAGATGCCCGTGCAGGACAGCATGTGCAAATTGTAGCCTCAGTTTCCTATTCTTAGGTGACGGATGCGGCCTCCTGGTGCAGGTCGAAGCAGTCTATCCGTTCTCCTCAGACATCAACAAGGCATTTTCACATAGAGAACAGGTTAACAATCATTTGAGCCACGGTAATGAGTCTTTGAGCGCATTCTGTATTCTTTAATGTACAGCTTCATTTGGTTTGTCTTAAAAAAAGAACTTCTTCATTTTAAAGATTTCATTTGTCTTACAACATCGACTATTATAAACTGACAAGCTGCCGTTATAGAAAGGAGGGGGAAAAAAACCCATACAACATAAACAGAAAGAAATACTTCAAATTTCAATAGGTGTCTTATGATTAGTGTAATTTCTGCTATAAAAAACATTCTACATTCATCTGTCATTTTTATCATAAGGCACTATAACAATGATATGCTACACAAGGATTATTAACAACTAAAAGGTGCTTTAAAGGTCACAAAAAGTGTGGTACAGTTCTTCATGAATCAGCAGGTTTACCTCTTTTTAAATAAAACATCTCATTCATTTTGTGGTATCAGAAACATAAATTTGAGAACATGAATCCAACTAATGCAAACATTAGGGCAAATAGCTGGAGAGAGATTTCCAAATATATAACAAACAACCAAAAAAAGTCAATCCTTTTTAAAAAAAAAGAGTTTCAGTGTTGTTTCCAATGTTTGGTTGTAGCATGACAAAAAACCCCAACAAAACAAAAACAACAGCAATAAAAAAAAAAAACCAAACAGTCGCTACATACAGATGAGATGAGATTTATGAATCCACGGCTGAGTTTCATCAGGAGCTCAAAGCTCTTTTTGTCCTTGCATTGACGAAATCGTATTTCTTGAACCCCCGCTGTTGAAAAAGTGCAGGTTAGCGTGCTGTATTTCAGACGTTCAAAAAACATAATGTATGTCTTCTCGCTGCACCGAACTAAAAACTTAAATATCAAAAAGTTATTTAACGAACTGAATGATGCAAATGTGCAGTTTAGTGCTGTGGAATACTACAAATTTTGATATCGATCTGATACTAATAAATATAGGGGCAGTATTGCCGATATCAATACAGACAGCGATACTTTTAATCTATAATGGTGGCTTATATAAGAGAGAGCAGTGCGGCATGAGTTATGAGATGAGTCATGACCAATTTGCCAATTCTGAACACACTAAAAATACTACATGTTTTACTTTTCTCAATAATTAGTTAATAGAAACATTTCAGCGTGTTCAAGCTAGTGCACGTCTGACCTATATTTTTCACTTGGCTACGTACTTAACATAGAAACAAAGTATCAGTCCTGTCATGCTAGTATTGATCTGATACCAATATCAGCTTTGGTATCGATACTATGGATATTTAGAGCAATCCTCTGAAAGACACAGCTGAATAATGTAACATGCAGCAATGTATCAATAACTAGCAGCTCAGTTCTTTGTTTAAATTAAACAACTTAAAGAGGAAAAGAAGCCATTTCAACCCTCTAAGCCTAAAACACATTTTTAAGTGCTGAGACAGCAACTTAAAGTGCTCATAATGAAGTGTAAAGACATGAAGAAAATCATGTGCAACATGATATGATAGGATGCGATGTGTGCAGGAACTCACTTTCTTGAGGGTCTCATGGACTTCATTGTTTTTCCATATTTCGTGCAGCAGAAGGCACGCTGCCTTTTGCATACGACTGGGTCTGTAACGAGGAGAAGGAAAAGGTAAAAATAATACATGCTGTTTTTCTGAACCGTGAGTACTTTTACTTTTTATGCTTATGGTGAACTTTGGATTGACTCCAAAAGTGAAGCAATCCTCATAGATTCCTTTGCTAAAATTACACAATTTATATATTATATTATTGAATTATATTTTGGCCTCTGTACTTAACTTCCACCTTCATAACAACTAACCTTCACAACCATGCCTGTTTGGATTTTGTCAAGACTCTAAAATAAATCGAGGGGCAGCATTAATTGCTTCCTGTCTTCTTGGCATCACTTCAGACAAAATTGAATCTTGTTGTGTGTGTGCCCCTTTTCCACGCTTTTTAAAAACTTCCAGTTGCATGAATTCTGGGCTTTACCTTTTCCCGCTAGTACGATTCTAGCATTTGTTAGTATGTTAATTAGGCATGTGGAATGTGGCATGCACCCATACAACCTACGAAAGCAGTTCCCTCATAACTTTGCGCTAGCCTGTTCATAACTTTGCATGGCTATAGCATTTATTCACATCAGTTTTTTAATTATTCACTTTTATCTGAAGTACCGAGACTCTGAAGAAGTTACTTTATGTTATTGCTACTTAAAGGAACTAAATACAATGGATTAGGTAAATAATGACATAAAAATAAACTAAACAAAATAATGGCACATATATCATTATCTTGCATTGAACATACAACTTCTCATGTCTTGTATCTGAGTGGTTTAGTAATGTAACTAACCCTTTGTCTGTCTTGCTGATGTTGATGATCTTTGGGATGCCGCGGTTTTCGATTATTGCGTCGGCATTCTTCGCATCACTCAGGCACAGGTAAGTCAGGATTTCACATAAAGAAATCGTCACCTCACTAGTCTGGTTGACGTCGGTGCTGTCAAAGGGCAGCATTTTCACCATCTCTGACAACACCTGGTTTGCTTTAGGAGTAAAACAAGTCATGTAAAAGAGCCGTTCAAAAGTGCGGTTTGTGGTCGTGGTGGAACGATAATGGGAAAAGCTTAGAGGAGACATCAAAAGTTACCAATGGCAGGACGAAGTTGATCGTAGCGTGAGATGTTTTTGATTAGAGATACAGCAGGTATCTTTAGATTACTACTTTCACCGTTTAAAATTTCCTTAATCTTCTCAAGACCATTTTCCCGCTGAACAATGATAACGGCGATGCCTCTGTTTATCTGCAGACCACAGAAAAAACATTTTAAATATGTCTTACATGTATGACTTTAAAATACATATACATGTAAATATAAATGTGCTAAACAATACTAATGCATAATGATCAGGTGGCCAAAACAAAAGCTGTTAAATCTGTTAAGCTGTCAAACAGTATTCCAGATTAATCTACCCTTCATTTGACTCATACATACATCTAATAAAGTGCCAGAGATACAGTAGACACACTTGCCTCTTTTCTGCTTACACATCGAACCTATAATTAGATTAAGAGCTGAAGTCCTTCCCATCTTACCTCGTGTTTTCCAGCTGTGATGTTCTGCAGAGCACCAATGGCAGCCTCCTTGATGGTGTCATTTGTACTGCAGGCCATCAGTGATATGTACATCCGCACAGTGATCGTGTCCCACAGCCACTCTATGCCATGGGGGTTGGGGTTGGGCTCGGGCTCCAGCAGGGGGTGCTGATGCACTGCATACTGAGAAGAAGGAGTTTACGAGACAGACTCCAGGTATGTGGGTCCAGTCGGTTCAAATTTACAACAAGAGGTGGCTAACCGTGTTAGCAATTGATTTTATTCAGTATGGACATCTAAAGACTGGTGGTGCATCCATTTTTCCACATTTTCATATTGGAAGTTTAACTTCCTGGCAACAGTTTTAGTGCAAAAGACATACTTATACAGCTTTAGGAAACCAAATCCACGCATCCAGATTTCATTCTTGTAGGAGGCAGAATAACAATCACTGTTAGAGCATCATATTGAAGCCCATAGTTTTCAAAAACTATGCAGTCAGTAGTTACAACTTCTCATTACAGCAAATACCTAACCAACCAGTCACATGGCAGCAACCCTGTATATTTAGGCATATAGACATAGTTTAAATGATGTGCTGAAGTTCAAATTGAGCTTAGGAATGAAAAAGATAGATGATTTAAATGTCTTTGAATGAGCACAGTTGTAGCTGCCAAACTGGGCTGGTCTGACTACTTCAGCAATTACTGATCTTCTAGGATTTTCCCACACAACCATGGTTTACAGAGAATGGACCAAAATAGAAAAAAAATATCCAGTGAGCGGCAGTTCTCGAGGCTAAAATGCCTTGTTGAGCCAGGACTTGTTGATCTCAGAGGAGCTTCCAGCTGATGGAAAGGCAAAAGTAATTTTTTTTTGTAAATTTTAAATAACCGCTCATTACAGCTTAGGGTGCAGAAGAGCATCTCTGAAAACGCAGCATGTTGAATCTGTTGGCTGCAGAAGCCCACACTCCTGTCAGATAGGAACAGGAAACTAAAACTACATTTCACATAGGCTCATTAAGATTGGACAACAAAAGCCTGGAATAATGTTGTCTGGTCTGATGAGTCTGAATTCAACTCAGATTATAGTGTAAGAAATTGGCGCAAGAAACATCTACACTCTCTTGTATAAAAGGTTCAGGCTGCCGGTGGTGAATGTTTCCTGACACACCTCAGATCTCTTAGTAACAACTGAGCATTTTTTAAATGCCAACATAGACAAAAGGTTAAAGAGGCTTAGTGTTATTTAAGATAACACTAAGTGTTTCCTTAAATAAGGACCAGACACATGTTTTGATTTAGTAATTTTTTATCTGATCAGCAGCCATTAACCCAGTTATTTCCACATTAATGTAGGATTCAGAGCACATAAAAGCTGCCTGAGAGTTCAGAGGTCTTATAAAGACTTCTATAACTGTGTAACTGCTACTCATAAGCTGGACCTTGTATGGCATTTTTACTCTGACTTGTTTTGTTTTTGCTTTGTTCTGATGTTAAATGTGATTTTGTACCACTAACAGCATGTCTTCGTGGCCAGGTTTCCCTTGGAAAAGAGATGTTAATCTCAAGGGACTTCCTAACTAAATAAAGGCTCATTAAAAAATGTCAGCAAATATCAACAAGAATTTAACTGATAGCTCAGGATGTGTGTGTTTTAAGCCGCTTTAGCTTGTCTACCAGATGTAAAATTGCAATCCACCTCCTCACCACTTCCCCCTTTAATGCTGCATTTGACTTCATTAATGTCATGTCCATTGTCACTGATGACTGCTTTGTTGCTACACACATGCAACTGCACGGAGGTGTCAGACCAGAACCGTAGCATCAAATAAAATTACTGCAGATGGAAAAAACAATCATCTTTTGAGAATTGTGCTTCTGATTGTCATGCTATGTAGAGCTATGGCTAACTTACATAGATAATAGCATAACAGCAGCAACACTGGCGCACCTGGTAAAGCAGTAATGTATAATGCATGATTTGTTTGGATGTTTCTCACCACCAATATAATACAAGAGAAAGCTAAATGAGCATGTTCTAGTAAAGATGATTAAAGATGTTCTCTCACACTCGGATATTAAACCATAAGAACGTCTTTTGTGTTGTCAGGGTCCATTAATGTGTAAAGAGATTACCTCTGTGATCTTGGCACTGCGATAAGAAAAACAGCCCAAAGTCTTTGGCTGCGAATCCAAGTCTTGGCGAGACTCTGTGAGAACCTGGTCGTTTTTCTTCGGAAGCTCTGACTCAATCTGATAAGACAGGTTGTGCAGGATACAGACGCAGTTCTCCGTGCTCTTCAGAGTAGATTGAGATGTAGATGAAGAAAGAAAGTAAAAATTGTCTGGCAAACAATTTAATAACATATGGGGACACAACAGAAACATAGAAGGGAATTCTAAGAATTCAGGCAAAGTTTACATCTGTTTGAAAGTACAAGTAAAAATCATTTGTGAACATGTAACAAAAGTGTTGTAAATCAAAGCAGTTTGCCGTGACGCAGACACAGTGAGGACAAATGTTTTCACTTCACCTTGTCATCCATCTTACGGTTAGCTACGGTTCCCCGGATGTAGTAGATCAAAGAATCGATGAGATTGTCACAATTCCTCATTGCTTCCCTGACATATCGGCCTGCGGAACTCAGATTTCTAGAAACAAAAATGTGCCAATTAGATAAGCCCATTTTAACAAAGTCAAAAGTGCTATAAAATATTTTTCTGTCATCCACACAATTGTGCAAATTAATGGATGCACTATTTTGGACATCTTTCCAATGCCCGTGGCAATCACAGACAAATTATATCACAGACTAGTAAGACTAGCCTGTTCTTATGCAGCCCAACCAACAGAGGGAAATAAATATGAAAATTAACATTCAGAATCCCCACAAGAGGCTCTTTGTGCAGCCATGGGGAACTCCCTTATTTCATCCACTGGGTGCTCAAAAGGCTTTAGAACATGATAAGGAGAACTCGATAACACTGGGTCAGAGAGGACTGAATGATTTCAGTTCAGCAAAGCCGGGGAAAGAGAGAACTCGATGAATAATTGAGTCTTTCACTCTTTTCATCTGGCTATAGTTGCCAGGGGAGCAGTGGCTCTTATATCTCCTGCTTTGCAAACAGAGAGATGATGTGTGTCTAAATAAGTCCAAAGCAGAAGTACGAGGCATAATCTCAGACCCCAGTAGATAAACTGTGGTTTGACATAATCACATGATAGTAAAGAAACTGTATAAAAATGGATGGTAGTTACTCTCTTGCTTATTATAATTTTAGTGACTAGGCAGTTCCAGACACTTTCACAGAGCTGCTAGATGAACCCCAGATGTTTCTTAAATCAACCATCATATGGTTCTTCTGCCCTTTGCACGCTCCTTCAAATTCTTGTACTGTTCACCTTTCTCCATCGGGGTCTCTACACATACCCCTCTAATCTACACCAATGAGAAAATTGACAATAGCATTAGTTCAGGTAGACCAGAGAGCCAAGCCTAGTGTCCTATCCTGGTAGATCAGCAGTCTACTTTGTCTGATGGATCAGCTGATACTCTTTGTTTAGGTTGCTTTTGCATCTTCAGTCATTTCCATCCCACATTGTAAACAAACAGTAAAAAACAGAAAATGTGCTGGTAATTTTCTGCTAATGCATTACCTATTTTGCTTGTTTGTTTCGCACAGAAATTAATTTTCATATATGGTGAAATGGAAAAAACACTGCATAATGGAAAAAACCACAACAACCTCTTCCAACCACCAGTTTCTGACTTAGTCACTGTCATCTTAGTTGTCACTGATACCCAGGGTCAGTGCCAAAGCTTATAGAGCAGATGGAGAAATAACTTTTATCTGAAGACATTTGGCTCAGTTTACTTTTAGATTTCATGAAGATTGAAGCCAAAAGTACATTGATACTGTTAAATGAGCACAGGTACCCTTGCACTCACATATGCTATATACAAAAGACAAATATATATATATATATATATATATATATATATATTATATATATATATATATATATGCAATAGCTTACTGGCAATGTGAGAGTTTAGCCAGATCCAAAAAAAAGCTGGAAAGCATTTTAAAAACACAATGTAACTATGGGCAGATCTAACAAACACAAGCCCCTGGGGTTACTAAACAATACTACACCAGGTTTTCCATTTATGCCGATCCATCTGGAGGCCCCAGATCAAATCTATGTCACACAGTACATAGACTGGTTTCGGTCATTATGCAAATGGAGGAGTTTAAATTACATCGTATATATAAGATTGGGGAAACCTGCAGTCAGCTGAGATTGAAGAAGTCACTTGGATGAGTGACAAAACGTTTCTCCCACAAAACGCTTCGTCCAGATGAACAGAATCGACTTTTGGAGGGTCACACAGTATAAATCCCTGGAGTTTGAGGATGTAGGTGATAAATTCAGAAGCAGAAGAACTTTTTGTCCTTCAGAAATTAAATGCTATGATCCCAAACAATATCTTCTGATCTGCTGAAATCTTCGACCTCTTCTGTTTATAATCAGCAGATTAAGTGACACCTACAGTAGTTTTTGGTTTATCCCAATGAAAAACATCCCAGCAAGTACAGTTTTTTCGCAGCTAACAAAAGAGAACCTACCGCAGGCAGCCGGTGGCATTGATGAAAGTTTCATCATCCACTAGCAGTTCATCTTTCGGATTCTCGCCTTCAAAAATGCCAGAACTGGGAACAAGAACGGAGCGGCTGAGAGTGGATAAGGCATGATGTGGAAAAGCCTCCTTCAACATGTCATGAGAGGAGAGGTTCCACAAAAGACCTGTGGGAGAGATTGAGATTTAGTTTTTTGCAAGGAGATAAATCACAAAAATATAAATAAGCTAGTGCTGCATTGCATATATGAGTCTCAGAGCATGATTTCATATGTATCAAAGGCAATGTTTATTTAAAGCGAGCAAAACCAGTTTTGACGAGAGCTTGAAATTTGCAAACCTAATCAGATTAAAATTAGGACATGTAGTGTGTTTAAACACAAACTAACCCGTAAGATGCCGCCTGGTCTCCTTATCGCGGCTGCTATTCAGTACAGTAGGAATCAAAGACAAGCCTGCGTTTTCCTTAACATTAAGCTTATTTCTATCGTTCTCATAAACAGCATTACGCAGCGCCCCGGCAGTGGCACGCTGCACTTCTTCGCTGTCATTGTTAAGTAGAAACATGAGCTTCTCAATCCCGTTCACATGGCAAATCTGGAGAAAATAGAGAAAGCAAGAATGGACCAACGATTGACAAATTCATGTATCAGGATTTATAATCGCTCTGCATCCTTAACACATAAAATACCTGTGATTAAACATACCTTGCCTCTAGCAATGGCACTCTTGAAACATTCATTTTGTATGAAACTGGTTGCACAGATCAGTTTTTCCTCTTCATTCTGGGTCAAAAGCTGCACAGCCTTCTCCATTGTCATCCTCGGAGTCTTGCTTACTGACATCCTGTGTGAAAATCCACAAATGTTTCAAAATGTAGATTATCAATACAGGATCATATTGAAATAATGAATGTACAGAACAAAGGTCTTACAGTTTTGTGACATTCTGCACGTGCATCTGCTTAATGGGTAACTGCGTTGCTGCCCGCCTGCCAGCATCCGTCTCCACACTGCTGACAGAGGGCGGGTATGAGTTCACTCTAAGGGATTTATAGTGGCCCCTTTCCCTCTTCTGTTTTAGCCCGAACATGCTATCCTTAGGCTGGATAGAACTAAACATGGTGTCACCATTTCTTCTCTGCATTTTTTCTGTGAAAGTTGGTTTCACAGTACTTTGTCTGTAAGTCCACTTAGAACCATATTCTCCATTTTTCCGAAATGCAGCATTTGCAGGTACAGATTGCAATCCTAAGGTCTGTCTAAACGTCCTTTGCTGGACGTTCCCTCGTGCAGGTGTGTATGCACATCTCTGTGTGCTATGAGGTAAATCTGAAAAAACATGGTGGTGAAAGGAAGCTGACTTTGCCAAGTGAGTGCCAACTTTGGGTGAATGACTTGATACAGAGGGGGTGGGCATCCCAGAATAAGTACTGCATTTAAAGTGCCTATGAGGTTGCTCTGGGCTTGACTGAGGGGACACTTCCAGCCTCCTGGATGGTTTGCGGTCATGGTCGCCAGAGAAGGAGTGACTGGAGAAGGACGATCTATTTACCTGTGAGAAGGAAAAACAAAAACAGCTTTAATGCACTGGCCTGGTTACCCTGCTCTTTCACTGTATGGGACTTTGTACTTCCATTTATATACTTGGATGTCATTATAGTCAGAAATACACAGCACAGCAACTACTTGTGCAAAAGGTCATTATGATGTCTTGGTAACCCCACCCCAATGCTTTATCACTGTGCACGAGTGAACAGAACAAACTTCAGCACAAAGTAATACTGATGCGGTTTAAAATATATGACTTATTCCTTTAATGCGTTATTGTCAGAAACAGCTCCATATGTTGTCTATAAAGAGAAACATTATAGTTCACAATTAAAATCTATAGTAACTGCCTATTTACGCAAGCTGCTGCTACTTGTTTTTCTTTATAATAGGTTGAGAATACAGAAGTCACTACCCATAGACTTTAAACAAGACATAAGGATGTTCATAGACTCTTGGATTCATTTATTATTTTAATTTGTTTGTTTGTTTGTTTGTTTGTTTGTTTAATTTTAGCTCAGCTTTTTAAATTGTATGAGTGACAAAGTTGGTATTTGGGGTATGGCCTCGATGACTCACAGTGTCACTCATCAGCTAGGATTTATCTCACTGAACTGGAACTCTGATGTTAGAGTCACACAAGACTCACAAACTAGTACAAGTATAATCGAGACTTTACATTCAGAGTTCAGCTAGAAACTTACAGATCTGAAACAGAAATTTTAAAATTCCTCCACAAATCATGACGTCCATCTGTGACATGACAATCAAACAATTCAACTGGTCTTCTTTTGCTAGTTTCCAAGTCTTTTTAATACCCTGAGCCATAATGCGGTTTATGTGACAAGTAATATGTTTTGATGTGCAGTTAATTAAACTAATAGTCTGTTCAGGAAGTCTGTGCTCCAGTTCTGGTGAGTAAAATGCTAATATTTTATTTGCATGACACTTAGCATTGGTGTGTAACGTAGCACTTGCTCTTGTTCAAATACACTCACTTTTGGCTCCAACAACCAAAGATGCCGATGGCTGTAACGCTTAATGCTTGTCAACAACTGGGCACGTCCATGTTTTTATACATAATCTATCCTTTTACCCTTCTTTTACTTTCTAAGGCAAAAAGAGCTTTTTATTTTTTCAGTATTAAATTGCTTTTTTTTTCCTTCAAGCATCCACGCACATAAAGTAAACACTGTTGCATAACAGATAAGATACGAAAAGAATACAATGATTTATTATTCAACAGACTTGGGTTCTGTGAGCATGCATAAAGCAGCAGCAGGATACCACAGAGAACCATTTGCCTGTATTCAAATTATGGAGTACAATATTTAAAGTGCAGTACAGTATGAGGCCACAAGTTCAAGTAGTTTGTCCTTTTATAATCATTCTGTACAGGGACGACTAAAGCAAGCATGCTGAGCTGAATGCGCTTAATATCTGTGGAGGAATCTGCATACTTCAGATCTGTATTAGCTCTAAAAAAACAGAAGCGAGATGAATATTCTAGTGATCGATTAGGATGACAAATGTCCCCAAAATGTTTGGGTGCATGTGGCGGTGCATAAGAATAAATAAAGGAGAGTCTTACCTTCGTGTTCGTTAAAAGTCCATCTGCATCATTTAAGCTCGCTGTTTCATATTTCTGTGAACAGACACCACCTGAAACAAGTCAAAGAGGTTTGGTTAGTCCGTATGATAATTCCCGCCATGCCTGTTAGTGTTCTCATATCTGGATCGTGATTCCGACTCTGGTTTCCTCAGCTTTGAAAGGACAGTGCACACTCACGGTGCACAGCAGACATCTGTGCAACCTGCAAAATAAATGGCATCTAATTTAAAAAGAAGATGGAAGAGAGATGGCAAAGCAGTGAGATTAAATGGATCGGACATTAAACGCTATCTGTTAAATAATGTTTCATGACACATTAGGCACATTTGTATTATGTATCATTGAAAAAGTCCTTGAACTCTGAGCAGGTGTAACATCTGGTTTCCAGTTGGTGACTATCACAGCAGTAGAGCATGATTCACTTATCATTATCAGTGACCACTTGTGCCCTGTGCATGGGATTATTGTGATTCTGGAGAGAGAAAATTCCTAGACATATTATTACAATGCAGCAGATATGTCAGCAGTACAGTGTACATTTTAGGACATCGTCAGGTCTCAGGAAAAAAGTCGTAAGGTATCAGGAAAAAAGTCGGGTCTCAGGTCTCAGACATTGAGACCCGACGTTTTTCCTGAGAACTGAGACCTTGCATTTTTTTTGTCTGAGACCTGACAACTTTTTTCCTGAGAACTGAGACCTAACATTTTTTTGTCTGATACCTGGCGACTTTTTTTCCCGAGAACTGAGACCTGACAACTTTTTTCCTGAGACCTGACGATGTCCTAAAATGTACACCGTACAGCAGACTTATTATAGGTTTGTATTTTCTAATTAGTTTGGTTTTTGTTTTTAATTTGGTTTAGTTCAAGTTGGGATGGATTTTCTTGTTTAGTTTAGTTTTTAATTGTTGGAAAATGTTTAGTTTTAGTTGGGTTTTTTCGTTAAGTATTATAAGGGAACATTTTAAAAGCAGTTGACTCTCAGTCTTCTAGACATTCGGAGTAATAGTAACTTTGAAATAATAATGTGAAAATTCTGAGCATATTTTAATGATGAATAAATGTGTGAATTTTACCTTCCACAATACTTAGTTAAAATGCACACACAGACACACACTTTTCATGTATTTTGAAAGTTGTTTTATGGAGAGCTGGAATGTCAATGTGCCTGTCTCTAAATCACTTTGGATAAACTTCTGTTGTTTAAATATTTTCTAGTCTATAAATAAAATAAACAAGACAGCAGACACAAAACAGTTCAGAGATTTTCCTTTTTTTTAAAAAACAAACAAACATGTAATCCATCCATCTTTTTCTTCTTATCAAATTCAGGGTTGTGGTGGTGCTCACCCTGAACCCATCACCAGGCTATCACAGGGCGCATACACAGAGACAACCATTCAGTCACATTAACGCCTGCAGCAAATTTAGAATTGCCTGTTAACCTAACATGAATGTCTTTGGACCGTGGGAACACCTAACACAGCCACAGGGAGAACACACAAACTCGAGAAGAAAGGACTCGGCCGGCCGGTGAATCCAAACCCAGGACCTTTTTGCAGTGAGTTGACAGTGCATTATAACAACGAAATATTTTAGGGAGAAGAAGTCACAAAATAAATAATGCAAATAATAAAAAGTCTTGTAATCCCCTTTAATAGCACTCTGCAATCTGTAAAGACTTGAGGGGAAGCCAGTAAAAAAATTCTTTCATTTTTATTTACAGGGTAGTGTTGACTCATGTGGTTAACCATCCGTCTAAACACACCTAACAAACCTTTTAATAGTCAGTGATGCTTCATAAATTCAACCAAACCTGTCCAGATACAGGCAATATTACTTTTAATTTTTTATAGTTGTCAAAATTGAATAGAAGACCTCTTTATTTTTGGCTACCAATACTTAATAAATAAGGTCATCAGTGGATGACATAGTAAAATTAGGTTCTGGCAGTTATCACTTTTAGGGAACTGCAGAAACCTGTTAGACAAGAGGATTAACTAGGAAGTGTGCATTCCACTTACAGAAATGTCTGTGTTTACACTAACTAGACTTCTAGTAAGCTCCCCTTAATGCAGAGCACAGCCTCAGGACAGACAAAGCAGGGTCTGGCAAAGGAAAGGGGTTTCATAGTTTACTTTAGGGGTTTCCAGCTTGGACCCTTTTGAAAGGGTAACATAGCCACCAGGGTGGGAAAGGAGGAAAAACTCTGTACTTCTATTATTATTATTCATATTAATATTGTTTGTGGTTATTATTATTCAGTAAAACAGTTGATAGTTCACTAATCTACCTGTACATGTCCCTGACATCCTAAAGTTTAAATATTAGATTTGGAAAGTGGGAGGAAGTTATTTTTGCTACCACTCTCATTCACTTCATTCATTAGTACTACTTCATTAGCTTGGCTTACAGTGCACCCGGTTTCTCCCAAATGCGTCAAAGTATGATGCTGATTCGTTTTCAAAATGAACATTACCATTTGACTGAGTCTTTTTAGACTTCCTGGACATTGTGAGCTGAACCTGCCGGTGAACCCGCTGATTCCGGTCCTCATCGGGCTGCGTTGAGGATCGCAGATCGGCCGGCAAAGCCAGGCTGGTGTCATCCAGCACAGAGGAGTCGTGCGCAGGTAACGCCGACTTAAAAAACGGATCGTCCATTGTGAACAACAAATGAGAGCAAAAGAAAAAAAAAAACTCGCCAAGAGTCGAGAGGTCAGTTTTTCCTTTTAACCATATAGATAGGGATCCTGGAATAATAGTCGACGCTGCTTTGTTTCTCCCACTTTCCCTCAGCTAGGTACAGCCAGGAGGGCGGGGCTAAAGGCGCACCTGAGGTGTCAGGTGTCACCACGAGGACACGTCAGGTAACAATGTGTGAATGTAGCTGTGTGCTTTAATTATTTACTATTTATTTCCCTGCAGACTTTTTTTTTTTAAAAGTTTAACGGCCGTTTTGAAATTGTGAACTAAATTACTCAACACCAATCAACATTTTTAAAGATTCAGCTAACACTACTTGGGAAAACTGATATATTTGTCCAGCAAAAGTTTTGCCTATGTACACCACCATGATGGATTTTAAATCAGTCGATCAAGATGTGATTATATGACTTTCAGCTTGAACTCAAGAATAAATGTCTGCATTAACTGTGCAGGAAGTGCAGTCATTTTCTTCAGACGTTCGGGAGTAATTCGAGAGACTCAGGTCAAGTGCGTCATATTTGACACCCTTTTGGGTGAGTTTTATATCTCTACATCATCAGTGTGATAAATTGCACTCTAAATTGCAAGGTTCAATAAACACTTGAAATAGCTGAATAAGCTACAAACACTTTTTTTAAACAAAAAATTGGATTTTCTGGCCATTATTTCATGGTTCAGACTTCACAAGGATAATTTTAAATATGGAGCTTTTTTAAATAGTTGGATGAAAATCCTTTGTCATCAATAACTGCCTGAAGTCTAGAATCGATCAGATCAGGTGACCAGGCCATAGAAGAGCATCCTACTTCTTTGCCTTGGCACAAAATTCCTCCTGCTTCTTCCATCAGCAAACACTAGTGGCCCACTTCTACTTTCATCCATGTCAGTGCCATCACACTGCTTTCACCATGTTTGACAGATAAGGTGTTATGCTATACTTTTCTCTTATTCTTTTTTTTCTCCAAGATGGAAAAAATCCTGTCACCATCCACTTTTATTAGCTGAAAGCGCATAATAATCCTAATGAAGGCCATCTTCTCATGCACAGACATCTCTTTGGGTAACTTATTTAAAAAGCTTTAGAACACAAATTCAAATTCGGTTTTGTACTTTTGTTAAAACTCTTGAATTAATTTTGACGTATTTTTTACTCCTCTGTGATAGTGTAGAGAGTCAAAAAACACAACAAAACTAACTGTTAGTACGGTGGGGACTTTGTCAGCAGATCTGTGTGATCTGCACTGCGCTGTTGGGTTTAAAGGAAACTGCTGATGGATACGAGGAACTGGGTCCAGCAGGTATGCCCTTCCAGACAAAGGAGCCAGCGTTTGATTTTCACAAGTTGTAAAATACGACTACTAAAAAAACTTTTACAGCCTTGACTTTGATCAGTGAGAGCTCCGTCACAATCATAAAAAGCCTGAGATTTTATTCTGTGTGAGGCTGACTCGATTCTCAGAGACATTAGCCTGTATTCAGCTGTGTTAAACCTTATGGTAAAGCTGCACTCAAGGCTCAGGTACTTTGATAAAATGTGGATTTGCTGTACTCTCCAGACTGAGGGGCTCTGTAATAGTCACTCCATCGTGAAACTTTTGCTAAAGGTAATTTTTCAGCTCCTGTCACTGTGAAAACTGTCCTACTCTAGTATATCAGCTAGCAAACACACATACATACATATATAAACACAAACACTATGGCTTAATTTGACAAATAATTCTTACATATAAAAACATTTAAAAAAACAGTATATGCTGCAATCAGTTAAATAAATCCTCAACAACTGTTGAAATAAGATTTTTCCTCTTTAATGCACTCTTCTCCAAAGGTCTTTCCTCTCCAATTCTTTAACCCACTTTCACATGAAACATTGCTGTGCATATTAAGATAAACAATAACAAATCTTTAGTTTGCCTTGTTTACAGTAAGACCAATCACAGATCAGCAAAGATCCGAGCATCCAACAGCATCTCAACAAGCGGAGGGAGATGTGACTGGGAGCTGTAGAACATCAGGAATAATGGATTCAAGTTGGGCTCACGTTCAGATTGTGGTCTGACTCAGTCGCATGTGTTCAACTTCAAAACGGCGCGTGGTAAAGAATCACCGCCTCATGAGAATCTGAACAATGTAGGGTGCAGTTTGGATTTAGAAAGAGATTTTTCACATTATAAAACAATCATATTCTGAAATAAAACAAAGATTTTAATCAAACAGTGTTTGAGATGTTTTTTTTCCACCCTCTCGCTCTACGATATAGACGATTAAAACACTAACATCAAGTTCTTTTACCTCCCATAAGGATACAAACTGTTTTCCTTTAATTTGGCACATATTTCTGTCCAGACACACATAGAAACAGGCCGAGACTGTACGCGAGCTGAACCGCTGTATTATTTTACGATACTGCAGATAAGGTTTTGTGAAAGAGCAGCATCTACTGGGAAGATAAAGTGAGACGTGGCATGAAATCTGAAGATATGACTGAACTCCTACAAAAGAATGAGAAATGCCTGGATTGTACCACCGTTTTCATTTCCAAATGCATTCATCTGATCTTTGATGTTCGCACCAGCCCTCTGCATGTCCCATACATCTGCATTAAAAAATAATAATAATAAAAATAAATCCTTGTTTACTCTGGGTCAATACTCGTGTGACGTCTGTGTCTGTTAAAAAGGCTTTCATCTTAAAGTTTCAGATTATCATCCATATAATCTCATTCTCTGCTGTCAGTCATTTTAATACAACTATTACATGATGCACCCCCCTCCATCACCTCAACACAAACACCAGCCGACCTTCACATCCTAAACCTGTGGCACGTCACTATGTTGTGATACAAATACCCTGTAGTGTGCGTACTCAGTGGGGGGGTCAGGGAGAGTTCCTACAGGTCTTCTTTTTCTGCCATTTGTACATTGTTAAAAAAAATATATAAAACATTAAAGAGAGAAATTACAGCTTCATTTCGGTTAAAAACACATTGTCAGCGGTTCTCCTCAAAGCTATTTACAAATCGGCGTGTGGTAACTAGTCGTCATTCAGCCGTCAAAGCAGGAGAGAGTGGGAGTCTGTTTTCAGGGAGGAAACGTGACATTTAAAAGCTGGGGTGAGCCACTTTTCTTTGGCTTTTGAAAAGGAAGATGGATTTCTTTTTTGTGTGTGTGTGTGTGTGTGTGTGTGTGTGTGTGTGTGTGTGTGTGTGTGTGTATAAATAATTTTTTTAGGCCAAAGGTTGTGTTGGAAATGGTAAGAATTATCAAAGATTAAAAATGCACTGTTTCTTTCTTTGAATCAAACTGTCACTGGATCATTTTACCTTTGCTTTGCATCACTTAACTCACTGATCCAGTAGATATTCCCCCCTCCCCCGGCAGCATTGAATAAACCAAGACATTAACAGATCAACAGGGAAAAAAAACAGAAAAAAAAAAAAGTCATTGTCAAGTCATTTGATGCATTAATTGCAGCCCTATGCAAACACAGGACAAAGCAATCATAGTTTATGTGGAAATGTAATTAGTGGACAGATTCTTCAAACAGCACCACGAGACAAGAGAGAGAAAACTGCTGCTGGTTAAAGGAAAAGCAGACAATCATTCAATTGTTTTCATTCAGCATAAATCACAGCAATGCACTTCCCTCCCTCCAAGCATCTCAAGTTGAGCCCGGCCACACGACCCCAGCAAGGTCGTAATTTGCACTTCTGAATACTTTTCAGTGGGGAAACACTGAGCACTGATAAAAGGGTATGTGGTCATAAACTGACATCAGAGCAGTGTTTGATCAGTCAAGGTTGGCTGACACTCAACTTCGCAGACACTGGCTCATGTTTAACTATAAACACAGCAGTGCTATCATTCTGTGACATGACCATGGCGATCATCATATCCAGTTTAGGCTCACTGAGGTAGAAACTTTTTTTTTTTGTTTTGTTTTACAGGTTAATGGTTAACTGAAATACTCCAGTACCTTCACTCCAGCTGCATTTGTTAACACCAACATCCAAGTTTAAGTGAAAATACTAATTTAGATCAATTAACTGTATTTTGTCATTAGTTAATGGTTAACATGGTGGAAAGGAAATCACGCTTTTACATTAAAATGCAACGTGTCCGTCTCTTACCAATTAACACTGTCGACTACGCTTTATTAGAATTCACGCAGCATATTCGTTCAAATAAAACGACAAAAAGGACCATCAGTGAAACAAAACAACCCCAATACCACATTCATACAAAGTTTCTGTAAGGCATTCCTTCACGAGGTCACTCGTACCAGCAGAGTCTGCAGCTTCTTCGTCCCAAACTTCAGCTCCTCATTCTGACGTTTGCCAGCAAAAGAAAAGTGTTCGATTTAGCCACAATCACAGTTTCTCTGCCAGAGTGTTCCCAGCTTCTCCTGCTCAGTCTTTAACACGGCTCTGGCAATGGCTTTGGTCTGTCCTGCAGCTAAGATTAGAAACTATACATACAAGAAGAGCCACAACTCTGAAAAAGTCTTTAGATTCATGCACGAGACTGTACAGACTTTAGGTGAACTGTCTCAGCTAGACAGGACAGGAGGTTGAGTTGCAGTCCTATCTGCAGGAGGAGCCCAGCACGCTGCCCGTCGAGGGTGTGGTGGGTGTAGCGCTGTAATGGGGGTAGTTGTCGTTTGATGAGGGGCTCGGGAGGATGGAGTTTCCATTGGTGGGAGAGCAGCTGAGCTGGAGCCTCCGCAGGTACTCGGCGTGAACGGGTTTGTGGCTCTGCAGCACTTTGATGGCTTCTTCCACGGTGAACCACTCCCGCTTACGACCTGAAGAGGGAGACAGAGAACTGAAGATCAGGTTTTCTTAATCACCAGCAAAGTGCACTGTCACACAAACTGTAACTTTTGTGCAGAACAAGCCACGTAACCCCTTCTTTCCCTTTTCCACAAGCTGATTTGACTTCATATCAAAAGACAAAGTGGACTGTGAGCTTTAATAGCTTCTGCAGGTTACCCCATTTTCACTTGTTAGAAGAAAAAAAATAAAAAACAGTGACACTGGATTGAAACATTTCACAGAATGTCACAATGAGGCAAACAACTTGCATTCTTAATAAGATGCATTAAAGTAGGGTGAAGATACTATCCATCTATATCTATAGTATCTTGAAACTCAAATATATATATACCTGAAAACCTTCAAATATGCATGTACAGACCAAACTGACGTATGCTATAAAGGTTTTCAGAGTTCAAAGCAAGAACAGAGGGGATACATTAGGCTTTGGATTACACAGACTGGATACTGACGTCCGCCGCACTGACAGCTGTAATATACTGCAGCTAAGTACCACTGCAGTAATGATCAGTGGCCTAGATTTATAGGCACCTGTTGTAACTGCCAGTGTGGTTTCTGTGCAGTACTCTAGTCTTCACATAAATAAAAAATACAGAGTATGGTGTAAGCAGCAGCACTCAAAACCGCAAGTATTGATGCTTAAGGGGAGGACATGAAGCAAAACTTTACCTATGTTGACAGAGTCTTCCCAGTCCTCGAGGGTTTCCGTCACAGTCAACACGTACACGTACGTTCGGTGCTTACGATCTTGGTTTTGCTTTAAGGATCAGAGACAGATGTATATTTAATTACAATGCAGCGATGCAATAAATCATGCAATTCACACCTACATTTATTTGCCAATTTTAAAGTAAAAAAAAATTGCAGATTTTATACAATTTGCACATTTTGTCCTGTCCTGTGAAAAGCTTACCTCAAATACACCAAGCAAGCGTCCTAGTTTGCCCTTCACACCGGCCTGAGGAAAAGATAAAGGAGAAAAGAAAATCATTCATTTCTACTGGCTGTAGTGTTTGGGAAGCACAGAGTATACTTCTTTGTTGGAAGGCTCAAGTAGCTATGGCCTCTGTAGAAGATCAGTCACAGAGATGAATAGAAAGTGAAAACAACAGAAAAGCAGCGTTCTGCATCAACACAGTGGGACCTGTGTCGCGTTTCAACATTCAGGACAGTCCAACAGATAACTGCCCACAAATAAAGAATACATATATCAGGACTGAACAAATTAAACCCCTATGACAGTTTTTGCAGAAACTAGTAGCAAAGCTACGAGCTACAGAGTTAAAGGTCGACATATAACATCAATATAAAAGATTTCACTGTCATTTATACTGTACTGGGTCATCACCTGGGTAAGAATACAATAATAAAAAGAAACTTGCTTGAATTCTGCAGATTGTTATTACAGTAATATGAGAGAGTCCCTTTCATAACAGTCATTTTATTAATTCAGATGTATTGTGTTCTGTTCACAGGCCTCAAATTACTGTTAAGACATATGTCATCTGCTCAAGTGTCAGTCTGCCCCACTGATGTGTCCTGAGGGAAAGGCTACAGGGTTTGTGAATGCACAGGAATCTAGTGAAGGGCCAAGTTTAGACCACTGACGTTGCTGAGAACACAAGGTTCTCAACCAGGGGGAACTCTGAAATACCATCAGGCTCCTCATTCACCCAGCTGCCGACACTGTACCCCTTCAAAAACCTCTCACCCTTACCTATAGACTTCAAACCTATTTCACTTTATAGACTTCAAACTTGACTTATATACGGTAACATTAAAACAAAGTCAGGGCACAGATTTATTTACCTCCTCAAACACTTCTCGCACTGCTGCGCCACATGGCTCCTCCTCTGGCTCCATCCCTCCTCCGGGGACGATCCACTGGTCTGGATGCCGACTGCTGCTGACCAGCAGAACCTGTCAAAGAAAAAGAAAAACTTTAGGAAATGCAGACCGAGTTATTATTTTTACTTTAAACCCCAATAAACCAAAGGAGTTAAAGCACGCAGGAGCATACAGAGTTTCAGTGGCCTATATTGCAACTTGAGGACATGAACCATGACCCTTGGGACTCAAAACATAAAAAAAAAAAAAAAAAATGACTGATGGTTGGAGTTGGCTTAGCGTCGCTCACAAGATGCCAAAGACAGGATTACACTCACTCGCAGAACTGAACGCAGACAGCTGTGGACTGTAGAGAGACACAGGTGGTCTTATTTCACTACTTTCTGATCTCTTTAAGAGGATCCATGCACATTTAATGCTCTTAGTGGAGTGACTCCATGCTCCATGGTGCATGCTTTTTTCTTACGAATGCGAAACACCAGATTTAAGACCACGAGACAACACAAACCAAGGCTCGGGAGCTACAAGCTAGTTCATAGATGGGATGATTGCTTTGTACCAAATTAATCAATCCAGTGTGGACTGATCCATTGTGGCCGCCATTTAAATAAGGGACCAGGTGAAAGTACTTTCAGTGTAGTCCATATCCCCTTGACTTTATACAAAAGGGGGTTTTTTTGTCACACAGACAAATTGAGTTGCATAAAGATGCTACACACATTTAGATAAATATATATTTCTTTGAGCAAATAATCCAGTTTTTACTCCTTTATTTACTCTTTTTTTTTTTTTTTCCCCCCACCACTTCATGTGGATGCCCATTCTTGAAAATACTCAACCCTAATTAATACCAGTGTCCATGTGGTCCCGACACAACATGAACTCAGCGGACAATGCTTGTAAACTCAGCTGGGGGCCCCTAAAATTCTGCCGGTGCTCCCGAGCGCCCCGCTGGGGTTTGAATTACACGACAGTTGCAGTGTCCACTGATACGTACAGATCAGATGTGCCTGTGTGTGCGGTTTGCGGCAGTATCCACATAGCAATCGAAAGAAACACGAAAACAGCTGCTATGAGCATTATCGCATTTAGCATGAAGCTGTGTCATCATCATTAACACATACAGCCAACAAGTGTGTTTAAAAAAAAATAAACAAAGCAGGATTCTGTCACAGTCTGATGGTTCATTTAAGCGTGATTCTAGCACATTTTAGCATTTTTCCTTTTTCTGTCATAATCCAGCATCGACAAACAAGCGGGGGCGCCGGTCAGGGCAAAGGGGCCACACAGTGAACGTCCATGAATTAGTGTGAGAAATCTGTGAGCATGTGCATGTGCAACAGATGGTGAACAACGCAACCTAACTGACTTCATATGCAGTAATCTGTGAGAGAAGTCAGCCTGTCGCTTAATCCCACCTCAGCTTTCGTATGGCTTCCCTTACATTCTCTAATGGGATTGTGGCCGCGGCTACACGAGGCTTTCTGAGGCTCTTCTAAATTGCCTGGGCTGAAGACCAGACTGTCTGACTGATACGGCACATGACTGGAGCCCTATATATCAGTTGCCGGCTGGTGTCTTGCTCACATGCCTGACTCAACCACCTGCTTATTCCCGGATTGCAGGTTAGGGTGGGGGTGATGGGGAACCGATGTTAAGTGCATGCGTGCAAAGATTTCCCTAGTGATGATGTTAAGAAGAAGCATCACACAACAGATGTTTATGTTATGTGACAGGTGTACAGCTTACATAATGGACTGTAAATGACACGTTAAAAGAAGAGGCATTTACACAAATAGTACAAGCAGCACTGGTGCAGGGCATGCCGTTCTCTCAGGAGGGTGCAAACTATAAGAAATGTGCAAAGCTGAACCTGGTAACCTGCCTCGGTAAGCTCCCTCAACAACAGGAGGGCTTTTGCCAGTGAGATCTTTTATTTTGTTTGTCAGTGTGCAGCAGTGATTTTATTTTTCCTCCTTTACAAATGTGAATGTCACCTGCCAGAAGTCATTACTGTGCCATGAGGTTCCACGCAGGCTCACCGACTTGGCGACTTCACGGGTGTGCCAAATGGTCCTCACGTCTTAACAGTGCGTGTGTGCTGAACTGCAGCCGGCGAGGATTAAGGGGAGATCGCTAAGCAGTGAGTGCGCGATGTATACAAAACACGGTGTTTCCGGGGCAGCAACAACGAAGCTCATTTTAGCGTTTAGTTGTAGTTGTTGAAGAGGAAATATTATTCATCCACCCTAAGAAAAGAGGGGTTGGGTCAATTTTGGAATGTAGAGACTGGAATCTACATTTTACAAACCATCTTTAATTAAAGAGGTTTGCTTCTTCACACTGCTCCATATTTCATACAGAAGTGCAGCAGTAGGGCACAATTTCACCTGTCCAATGCCAAATATGGACCTGCAACCTCTTTAGGCCATTCACCTACATTCAAGAATTTAGAGAATTTCCCAAACACAAGTCCTTTTGATCACAATAAAAAGAAACCATGTTACATGTTGTAAAAGAACTGCCAAAATATGTCCATTTCCTTTATATAATTATCATTATTACACTTTTATTTGAACCGTTTGTTCATTTATTTTCAGTAACTTGAACAGTCACGTGAACTGGTATTCCCGTTATCAACTAAAAAAAAAAAATAATAATTATAGTATAGATTAACTAAGCTCCGCCTTCTGAGCTGTATAGCAACCCACCGAACAAAAAGACCAGTTAGTACAAAAACAGCACACAAGCTACAATTTAAAGAGGCCAAAAAAACCCAAAAACAAAATAACTCACACCTGGATGGCAGGTCAACAGTCAGCTGATGGTGAACTCTGAGCACTGAAAACCCACTTATGTTCAGAAAGAAGGTCGGGCTAGAGGAGAGGCCTCTGGGCAGAGTTATTACAGTTCCTCCAATTTGATTTTTTTGTAATTATAAAAAATAACAAGCAAAACTAGACCGATTTTTCCAGGGTTAAGAAGTCAAAAACAGGCAGGGTATTTTAAGCCATCAAATGACTATATAAATAAACTTTACTTACTTAAAATGGGTCTTTAGGGGCAGAATAAGCACGTAACCAAGATTGGTCAACATACAGTTCAAGCAGGGAGTCTTTCTTACCTTAGTTAACAGAAGCTGTTATTTTGCATAACATAAAAAACTGGAAGACTAAGACTGAAAACATTTCCTTCATGTTTGTATTTTATTATAGTTTTTTCCACCAATATGTATTTTTACTAACCTTTCCTTACACTGTTTACATTATTTGGTTTACATATATGTTTATTCTCTAGCCATAAAAAAAGAAGAGAAAAATTGCCTTGGGGGAGGGACTGTTTACTGCTTTTTTCCTCCTTTGACAACGTAAGAAATCATAAAAGCATATTCCAAGTTTTAATTCTTTTATAGGAGAAGGAAGATTGACAAACCTCCCTAAAGGTGGCAGGGCAACATTATTGATAATTGATGTACCACATGCATGTTAGTATCAAAAAGAAAGTATTGTTTGGTAAATATATGCCAATGGTGACACTACAAACAACAACTACAAAACCCTTGTGAAACTTTACAGTGTAATCTGGCGTGCATCTACCTGGAAATGTAAATAAATGAAAATGGAACAAATGGAACTATTGTGACTGGCCTGTTCAAGCCTATACATTTCCATTTGCTTTTTCGCCACAGTCTTTGATCAATGAGATACGATTTTCCGCCCTAGCATGAGGAATAATAATCAAGCTTCGATATAAGGACTCACATATGAGGGACATCGCCAAACCAAAATCACTGAAATGGATGTGAGAGAATTTACAAAGAGGCAAAACATGAGGGACAAATACGTTAGGGAAGGGAAAAAAAAAAAGAGAGAGAGAGAAAGAAACAGAAAAGTCCTAGGATTTTATTTGTTTCTATCGTGGCTGGCATCACATATAAAACAGTGGGATATGACCACAAGGTAATTAACGCCATGCACAAGCATGAATGGTTATATAGCTTACGACATAACCCCTACAAAGATTCACCACAGAAATCCAAATCAGCCATAAGACATGAACTGTTTGGGCACTTTGTAACTTTTTGCATGGTGGATGCAAATTTAGCAGCAACTTGCTCAGAGGTTTTACCATGTACATATAACACTGCATGTTTACCAGTGGCATACCACTTAGACAGGGTGTGTGTCTATAAGCCTCCTCTGGATAGCGAAATACACAATGAAATACACATGAGTCATCTTTAAAGACTTCAATGTAAAGACGTGTATGCTGTAGAGCCCAGAAGTCACTGATTACACAACCTCTCTGAACACTAGTTAACTTCATGAATAGGCAAAAGATTTTCAGAACCACTATTAGTTAAAAACAGAGTCGGTCTTCTGGCATGGCCTCAAAACGGAGACAGCAGGGAGGAATATTCTGGAGGACATAAACACCTCCTCCCCATGGGGAACTGCCTGTAGCTGTCAAATAAAGAAGGCTCCACATGCCAGGCAGGCAACCGGAGGACAGAATGATGTAAAGTCACAGACACCAAAGAAGAGGAGCGCAGGAGACATGATTGATGGTGCTGAGAAATTAATATAGTGGCTGCATTATATGACAACTAATTAGAGTCATAAACAAGCAACTTCGGAGGAAAACAGCACAAAATGCAAATGCAGAGAACACATGCGACTTCATTCTTGATGTTAAGATGTAGCGTCTTCTCAAACTGGTAACCGGCCACCACCATTTCCATGATGACAGCATTTGTTACTTGCTGGGATACTTTCAATATCAAACCATGGGGTAAAATCTGAGAAACACAGAGGTTACTGCTAAAACTGTTATCCTGATAACACTTATGGCATTAAAATTCACTGTGTTAAAAGCCTCTGACGGCAACTGCTAGATTTGACATGGGGGTGGTGGCTTTCAAGCAAGAATACCATGTGACATCATCACCTTATAAAACTGCTTTGCATTTATATGGAATCATAGTTTGTGACACTCAGGTGAATGCAAGAATATATTCTTCAGTCTAAAGCGTTGATACTACTCCATTGCGCACACCTTTGAGTAGCTGTAGCTCAGGGCCAAACAGCCAAGTAGTTATTCCTGTTATATTTCTGAGATGTTAGCTTAAACTTCACCACCTGGGACGCACTGTAATGTAAATTATCTGCAAACAAGTCAGCGCGGTCATGGAGAACCCCCAAAACTGACCGAAGAGACCCTGGTGCTAACCATGAGATAATGGTAGGTCACTGGAACCCAAGAACTGAATTCTGGCTTAGACAAAAGGGTCGACAGAGCAGGTAGCTCCCCTTGTTTGATTCACCACCAGTTTTACTTCCCGACACAACCCCTGAAGAGATTTTTGTCTGCGTCTGGAAACAAACAAGTGACCCTTCGCTCACCGAGTGAATGTGTTAAACACTAAACCACTGGAAGCACATTAAGAAGGTAGACAACTAAATTAGCAAATCTGAGCAACTGTAGCTCTAGTAGTTGAAGATTTTATGGCCCAGCTAGAAAGTATTGTACAGGCCTTTCTGTTAGACCAACAGCGGCAGACAAAAGGCTGAAGAAGGAGGGAGGACCAAAGCAAAGCAAAACAATGAAAATTTCAGGCTGGAAAGCCAAAATGAACTGAAGGTGACTGTAAAATAGCCATATTGCAGCTTTGAGGCAGCACGGACATTACATAATTCAGTGAGCACACAATTTGATTGAATTATACCAAGCGACGACCACTGGGGAAAATAGTGCTGAAATTCTTTTACTATGATGCATCACATTAACCACATATGTTAGCACACTAACATATGTGGCTTTCCTATTACTGACATGTTTAGACTTAAAGTAGACACACATAAAAACACTGGCTCTTTTTGCTTGATTATTCGTTGTGACAACTTAGCACTGTGGTGATGAAATGTAATTCCACCAGCTCAACCAACTTGTCTGTCTCTTTGAATTGTCAGCTTCCCATTTTTCACTGTTCGAAGTTAAACTATTGCTATCACAGAGTCTCTGGCCTTATGGGCCCTGCTTTCTCCTTTCCCTTCCAAAACAAAAACAGCTGAGCAGATCTAGAGCTCCTGTTCCACCAGAGTTAGGTATCCAATGTCTACATGTAGTGTATATGTGTTACTACAAAGCTTACACTACATGTGAATCGTCTTCAAAAATCACCATTAGTGCCAACCCAGTTACAGTAAGAGCATCACATCAGTTCTCTTACTTAAAGCTGAGTCATGTTTGTGGTTGCAAACCCAGACATGCTTGTTAAAGTCCTGAGGGTAGTAGTCACCTACATCCTTCTGTTGTCACAATATTACAGTACACTAATGCAAGTAAAAATGGCCAAACCAAAACAATTCTAAAGAAAGCAAAACTGCATCTCTGCACAGTATCTCTATTTCTTTTATGGCTACGCATTTAAAAACAAAAAAAATCTTACATAACAACAGCATACCACGTCCACATGTGCAAACAAGCAGATATACTGTTTGCATGCTTGTAAAATTCCTGATATGGTGTGTTTAACAGCCAAACACTGGAGAGCCTAGGCAGAGCTCTTAGTGGCTGTCTAGTGACAGCAGACAGTGATGTCTTTACTGCACATTGTGTAACACTTTGTTTATGCCAGGCCAAAAAACGGCTAAATATAGTCAAGCCAGAATATGCAGGGGACAGCCTTGACTTTTGTCACTTACTGGTGAAACATTCATGCACGTAAACCAGTTAACCAGACCAGTTAGCAGACAGAGACATTATATAAGGTCCATTTTTACAGCTTTTGATAATTAGGGGGGGGGTTGAAGTTACAAAAAAATATTGCAAAAAAGGGGGAGGAAACAGTCACCCCACAAAATAAAAAAATAAAATAGAAAACTATGGTAGTTTAAAATCTGGCGGACGTCTCACTAAAGCCCTGCCTTAGGTTACCTTAAATCTCCTTTGAGGTGGGTCTAAAGCACTGCCCATCAGAGCCTGTCACATCCATTCATTATTTACATGTGATGGTCCCTTTAAATCCTAATCAACAGTATTGCTACGCAGCAGCCCGCCCAAGGCCGGCGGGATGCAGCATAACCGTGAATGAAGCTGCTCGGTCATGGACGTTTACATTATTGTCATATTAAAATGACCTTACATCTGACAAATATATTTAGCAGTATACCTGTGGCATATATTGTTACCCCCCCGCTCAGCCCACGCCACTGTTAAACCCTCTACTAAAGGAAACGTACAAGTGAGCGCCTCGCCCCCCTTCTGCTCGTTGCTTCAAGCTAGCGAAAAGCTAACGGGAAGTTACTTTCAAAATAAGAGCCCCGCCTTACTTGAGAGGGCAGTTTCACATTGCGCTGCTGCCCGTGTGTTTTATTTTGAAACAAACGTACTATTAGTCTTATGATGCTAGGTGAAGGTGGCTCGACAGCACCGCTTTTCCCCCCTTTTCTCTACGTGCTCCTCAAACTAGCCTAAACTGGATGGCCCAAGGCACATCAGCAGCACGCAAACACAAACCAAAAAGACAGTGGCTTTGCCAGCAAACACGTAACTACACCTAGTAGGCAACACCATAAATCAAAGCCCGTGTGTCTTATTACGGATCGTTGTGCGTTTTGAAAAAGAGCATCCCTGTGCACTTTGAATGGCTGCTAGATGCAGATTGATTAGGCCACAAAGTCACAGCACACAAACGCTGCATATTGTTGATAAGATGCAGGAAAACAGCGTCACACTGGGATAACCTTTCTTACCTCTTCTTCGCGTTCATTCTTGAAACACAGACAAGCCGCTCTCTTCTTGAAACCGTCGCCATCGTATGTCCTGGTCTGGTTTGGTTTGAGCTTCATCATTGATTTGGAAATGTGCCTCCTTGAGTAAGAACCGGCAAAAAAAAAGCAAAATAAAAGAAGAAAAAAAGGTGGAGGGGGTGTCCAATTAGTCAACAGCACAGCCGCCGCATTGTACTGCTCTATGCACCCGATGGGCAGATCAGGAACGGAGGATGTATGAAAGATCTCGTCAGACAATCCTGGATTTAAGCTTGTCCTTGTGAAAATAAGCACAAATCAGAGCCTCTGATGTGTAAGTCAAGCCCCCAGATGCTACCTGCGATCTCCAGTCGGCAGTATGTGCGCGCAGTCCCGCAGGTTGAGAGCTTATGTAGAGTGCAGCCTACACAGCACAGCCCTCCTCTGGATCCATTTGCGTATGGCCGCTGACTCAGTACAATGAACAAGCAGCCCGGAGTTTCGGAAATACAGATCACTCCTCTGAGGAGGGGATGAGCTAATTGGATGGGTTTGTGTAAAGTGGGCGGGGCTAGGCGTCTACTAAAACATAGATTGATACGTAAGTTTATTATTTTGTTTCCAGTAGTACAAGAGGGAGCTTTTTATCAAACATCCAGTGTGTGGTTCCTGATAAGAATTTTAGCAGGTCCTGGGGATCATTTTGTTGCAGTGAAAAAGAAAAAAATCATGCTGATTAGGACTGCCCCATATCCTAATCCAACAAAAACAAATCTTGACCAGGCACAGGTATATCTACATATTTTCTGGCACCTTCCACAGACGTTTCGTTTTTTTCTTTCTTAAAGCCCAACACAGACACAAATGCAGATGACATGACCTCAGTGTCCGCAGTAGCTACAGCCTTGATGTTGGTGTGGCGGAACTTCAAAAGGAACGGGGGGGAGAGAGACAAATCTGTCAGAAGACAAGATAACAATATTTATGCTCTGGTGGCAGTTTTACAGTCCATCGCAGACATAAGGTAAACAGTATTATATACTCAGACTCGTGTGCGAATGAGAACCGAGGAGGAAGTAAAAGTACTGTTTAAAATCTAACTGAATTAATGGATGACTTGTCCTTGACAGAATCTAATTCTAATAAAGTGAAATGACATTTTTGATCTTTTGAAGTATGATATTTTGATAGAGGACATTACTGATTTCTGGCCTTTACATTTTCCTGGTATTGTTCACTGACTCGCTGATTTCTGATCTGGGATATAAAAGACAGACTGAAAGTTTAAAAGACCATCTTTTAAGGAAACACTCAAATTGTGAAATCCCAGTTTTAAATCCCCCAGATATGTGCTAATCATATTAGTACCAGACCCACCAGACCTGGAGCTCTCCTTGAATTATCATGGCTCGGCTGAGCAATACCACCTCTCAGATCCCACAAAGAGAATGGATTTACAAAGCATTTTCCATGATATAGTCAGCTGTGTCAGTTTTATTGAATTGGATTTTATGGGTTTTCTTTTACAGGTTCCACCTTTTGTACATCCACATGTAAGAAGTAGACATTCTGTCTACTTCTATGTGCCTTACACAGTCTTCTTGCTGTAGTAAGTTGTTTTTCTAGTTCAAATGAACCAGCTGCTTAAAAACCTCTTAGATTTCTGCTTTTTGACAAAAGTGTGCACACGATCACGTACAACACATTCTGTCCAGTGTTGGGAAATCACTGAGATACTCCCTGCTTTCACTGACTTTATGTCATTACAGAGGTCATATTCTGAGTGTGTTATTCCCACTCAGCAGGAAAACAAACATGTGGGTATCAGAAGTATTTTTCTGAGTTACTTCTGAAAACTAGAATTAGGCATCTTGATGTTGCAACTGTTTTTTTGTCAGAGGTTGTGACAACAAACTCCTGACCTGTTCTTCCTGGGAAGACTATCAAATAGCAGTTGCTCTCGTGTACCTGTGGGAAGTGCTAAGTTATCAGCTAAGTAAATGTAGTCATTGTTTAAATGATGTCTTTTAAACTCACTCCAGATAATCAAATTGCAGTCTAATGGTGACAGAGTAGAGCACGTGTGCTGATGGCACACATTAACTGAGTGGGAGCCTGGCCTCGGTTTACCTTTGACCTGCAGGCCAGCATGCTGTACGCCTGCAAATAACGACATCAAAAGCAAAGTCAGCTCCGGAAGATAAAAATCCATAAATTAATGAAATTGATCAAAGGGGAACCGGCACTGTGATATCCGACTTGTTTGTGAAGATTTGTGGAGATAGTCAAGTGAATCTTTATTCTGTCTTTAAAGTTTCAGGAGATAAATGCTGGCAAAATGAAATTGTGTATCATAGATCCCTTTGACTCTCAGTTTTCTGGCAGTTAGGCCTTTGTGTAGTCATTAGGTCAAATACTTTGGCATTAAAGGAAATGCTACTTTAGCTTTCACGTGGCTTGCCATTCAAGATTTCCTTCACTCCTGTACTTTCCCTCAAGATGTAACTTATGGATGCAATGCCAAAACATTGGCCTCATACATTCTTGTATCCCTCAGGTTGCACTTTGAGAAGCATTTTATTTGTTAGAAACAGTTGGAGAAGGCTTAAGTTCTGCATCCACTAAGATTGCAAACAGGCTAAATACTACTTCTGATGAACACTTTTATATTTAGCTTTTTAGGTTTGTCCATGGACGTCCTGATGTAGAATGATGTAGTAGAACGTGAGGCAGAGCTCTGAGATATCAGACCTCCAGACTGGATTCAGGAGACATACACTCTCTCTACTTCTGCACTCACATATTTTCACTTCCCATGTGTTTATAAACTACTACTGCATCACATTAAGATGTACCTCCTCTCTCTTATAATGTGTGTCAGAGGGTTCTTCCTGTTAAAAGTGAGTTCTTTCTTCTCACTGTTGTCCAGCGCTCTCCTCATAGGGGACGGTGCGATTTTTGGGGTTTTCTCTCAAATATGGTATGGCCTTAACCTTACAATATACAATCCCAATTTTTTTAAAGTTAAAATGCTATATGAAAGTGTCAATAAAATCTCTTAAACTCATATTCTATTCACAACAAAAGATAACAAATCTTTACACTGAGAAAATGTAATGTAATGCTCAACTTTCCTGGCAGGCAGGTTAGTTCAGCACACAGACTCTTCTACTAAGCAGTGCTGTTGAAATACAGGGATAGACACAGTGTGCTGTTTAATATTGTCTTTCTGAAATATACAAGGTCTTCCCTCAACAAGATGTCGCTGGAAGGGAATATATGTTGCTCTAATACTTGCGCACACCTTTCAGCATTGATGGTGCCTTTCCAGATGTGTAAGCTGCATCCTCCATAGACAATAATGCACCCCCTTTTCATTGGAGATGAAGGTCTTTGAATTGAATGCTTAAAACGAGCCAAATGGTCCTCTGGAGGATGTGGCATCCATGTTTTCCAAATAATGTCCAATTTCAAATTATCTGACCACAGAACAATTTTCCTCTTTAACTCAGTCGATTCTAAACTAGCTTTGGCCCACAGAAGTTTCTGAATCATGCTCACATGTGGCTTCTTCTTTGCATGACGGAGTTCCAATCTGCACATGTGGATGGCACGGCATTGTATTATGTACTTTAGATAATGAGATATTCAAAGTCGTTACAATTTTGTTCACAGTCTTCAGTGACCTTTGTCAAGAATCTCCGCCTCTCTAAGATGCTCTTTTTTGATACCCAGTCATGTTTCTGAGCTGTTTCAAATGAACCTAATTAGCTGCAAAATGTTCCTTCAGCTGTTTTGTTTTAGTACCACTTGCTTTTATAGCCTTTTGTTGCCCCAGCTTAACTTTCTTGAAACATGTTGCTGCCATCAAATTCAAAATGAGCTAATATTTTTCATGACATAGTCAAATGTTTCAGGTTGAATAGTTAATATGTTTTCTGTGTTCTATTGTGAATCATTGCATTATATTTATATTTTTGACTTTTTGGAGGGAGTAAAGCAACTTGAGGTGATAGTTGGGAAATGGTGCAGCATAACCACTATTCAGTTTCTTTCAGTTTGCTGATTTACAGAAAATCATTGGGTGTAGTTTTGAGATTGTGCAGAACTAACTGATGAGCTCACTAGTGTCATGAGACTGATACTCAGTGAAACAGGCTAATCGTGATGATCCCAGTGACCCCTTTTCACACGTTTTCCCCCATGAAATTGGGAGGGGTGTGGGGACAGAGAACTCTTGACTCCCCCTTCCATTTAACCTAGAAACTTCTGTGTGGAAAAAAAAACAGGTAAACCCCAGTCATATTATCATTCAAATCACTGTTGTCATCAGTTGCTTCAGATGTAAATAAAGCATCAAATGCAGGTCATCGTGTTACTGCAAGTCAGACAGCATCATCATCTTGTTTTAGCAATGGTTTCCTGGCTTTGCACTGATCTGATCTCCTAGACCATAATTGCAGAGCAATTCCAACATAACCTATAAATAATTTAAAAGATAATCATTTATTTGCAATATGCTATTTAAAGTAATGGATACAAAGGGGAAAAGCATTGTAGGGAGTGTGTATATTTCTTCAAATAGTCCAGATAACTGCATATCCAATGGCTTAAGTGGTCATCTTAAGTTTACAAATGACTACAGAGTTTCTGCAGGTTGTCATTTGTATCCATACCATCAGGGTAAAGGAGATGTGCTAGAAAATTTATGTATTTATAGACTCTTGATGTCATTTGCATGATATATTATAAGTGATTTATAATGGGCTAAAATTAGAAACAGACCAGCTGAACCAAATCTTGCTCCTTAATATAACAACAGATGTTATCATCCTGATGGCATCGGTGGAAAATAAATCTTTCTGTCATCATATACTTAAAGTGGTTTATCATCGCCGTCTTGCATAGCAAAGGAGGGTAATTAAGAGGTCCCCATTTAGCCGAGGTGTGAGGGGAATATACGGATCCGGTTTCTTCTGGCTCATGCTGAGACAGATGGATGGACACAGAACTGACTGTCTTCACTTTATCAGGAGAGTCTGCCACAACATGCACACATGGATACACGTGTCACTTTTTTTAATACAAAGAAATAGTGTATACATGTTGCTACATCTATAGATGCACACACATACACCCACGCTCTCACACACGGAGTCCAATCTGCCTCTTCATTTGCCTGTGATCCGCTAAGTGTTAGCAGCCAACTGTGATTATGCCTATAAAATCCTGAGCTGATTAGCTCACCCATAAGTCTCTTCTTTGACCTCAGCGCTGAGCCTTCAGTCATGAGCCATCTGAGGGACTGGCTACTGGCCAGATAGCACAATCCTGAAAGGATCTCTGATATAAAAGATGGAGATGTCCTCATCCAGATAAAGACAATGAGACATCATTTATCCCTTTCCTAAGTTTAGCTCATGGATAATCGTCATGCTGCAGCTATCAGGATAATTTTAGGTCCAGCCATCTGTTTTCCCATAAGGTCTCCATTATCGA